AAAATTACTTTATTTGGGATGGAAGACACTGAGATCTTCAAGTTTATTTGGGTCATCTGAAATTGTTTACATTTCTCGTCGTACAACATGATGGCATAAATTGGATAAATTGGCATTAAACCGGAGAACTCCTATATCACGTGACCAATCATAATGTTGTTGCTCTCGAGATGCAGCATCTCTTTAAACATGAACTTTTGAGGCCTTTTAATTGATAAATTGCTATCATATTAATGTAATAAAGAAACTTCAAAGGTCAAACTAAAATTAATTTAATTACAGGTATTGCTTTTTTCGTGCATTTATAACATTATACTTCGAAATTTTAAATGATAAAAGTATTTAAAACACCTAGAAGAAAATGTTCGCGGCTCCAATAATCATGGAGATCACGCTTTCATGGCTCACGGTGTTTTGTGTATTTTTGATTAAAAATTCTTACATAACATCGGAACCTGCGCGTTTTGACTAAACTCTCTTAACATAATGCCAAATTTGAATGTGGTTATTGATCATAAAATGATACGAAGAGAGCTAAAAACCTATTAGGAAGAAAAAAGCTGACAACGGAGATCATAATTTTCATATTGTAATTCGTTAACCTTAGAACAAAGTTTGTTATTTTCAAGAAGGGTAGCGTGATAATTGGATTCAGCAATAGAAAGTTTAGATTTTAAACCCGTAATTTTTTCTTCAGCTACAGAAAGTTTTGACTCTAAATCAGAAATTTTGGACTCTGCAATAGAGGCTTTGGTTTGCGCAATTGAGAGTTGACACCTTAAAATTTGACACTTAAGATGATAATTTTGAGCCCCGTTAGAATCTTCAAAAGACTCACTTTAAACCCAAATGCCATTATTTATGAGTGGTTATAATTAGGAATTCAAATGCCGTAAGTCAAGGATTATGTGAGAAAAAAAAAAGTTAGTTTAAATTCATAATGAGAAAGAACTCTAATTACAGTATACTGTATTAAAAAAATTTATTAAAAAACAAAACCTAATACGAAATCTATCCACGCCAGGGATACCTTGTTGCTTTCTCACCATTATTTGTACGCGATTATTGATTAAATGGCAGAATGTTAAAGTCTAAGAAAATCACCTAATTTGGAAAACGATGCGCACATTACTGACGACGGTATACTCATTTATCCGCCATTATCCAGTATGCACCAGTGCACAACATTACAGATTTCCTTATTAATATAAATATACGGTTGAAAATTGAATGTACAACAAACATAGACTACATCTTATACGTAATCTTATACTGTAGTAGACACATCTGCTAGAACCAATGATCGGTTAAATGTTCTTTACTTCTGAATGTAAAAGATTAAGAACATTTCCGAATATTGTATACCAAACTTGGTCACGACTTTCGACATAAGTTAGAAAAATTTGTAAAATGTGTCATTGATTTCGTGCAAAATGTCTTATTGTGCAACAAAGAATATTACAAATATAACACATTTTGGAACTATGAATGGTCGATTGCCCAAAGATATTATTGATGATTTACAAAAACATATGCATCGGTATTAAAAATTATGAAAGTTTTTTAACATTTTTTTTCTATTATTATTTTTTACAAAAAAGTATATATATATACATAATATTGAATTTTTTAAATAAATTATAGTTTTGATATTTTTTATAATAATTATATAATAATAAATAATAAATTTTTTTGTATATTATATCAAAAAATAACAAAATTTTTTATTATTTAATCAAAATTTTATAATTTGAAAAATATTGAAATAATTTATATAATAATCAAATAAACTTTATTAATGTATTTTAATAATTATATGCTGTATTTGAATCATATTTTTATTTTTAATTTAAAAACGTATTTTTAAATCTTACTAATATATTTTTTTGTTTTTAATTTTTTATCAGTAAAACATAAATCATATTTATTTTATTTATTTTAAACAAATTATATTTTGAAAAGTATAAAATAGTTAATATAATATAGTAATAGCTTAATGAATCTATTCTTTTATAATAAGATAATTAGTAAATAATTAGGTCATATGAGTAATATAGTGGTCGTAATATTAAGAATTCAAAAATAATATACAAATCTATAAATAATTTATTAATGATATGTTTTGTTACTTAAAATAATTTAATTTTAAATATATTTTTTGTATTGTATTGTTATACCATTATTTTTGTATACAAATTGATAAATATATCAATTTGCAATTTGATTAGAGATAATATATATATGTATATATACAAATTATATTATTTTAAAAATAATTTTTAATATTAAAAACTTTTAATTATTTATTAATATATTTATATTATTAAAAATTATATTTAAAATATAAATTATATTATATTTAATCTTAATTAATTTTTAATATACCATTATTCTAATTTTATTAATAATTAACTTTTACTTGAAATTAATACAATCTTGATTGATAATTTATAACATAAAAAAAAAAGTATCAAGTTTTTATTTATTATTTATTACAAAAGATTAAATCCAGTATTAAGAAATTCTTATTATATTTTATGTATTTAAAAAACCAATTTGTATATATTTTGTAAATAATTGATGTTAAATTATATATTGGTTCAATAAATATATAATATACTTGTGATATTATTAAAATATAAATAATATTTCTTATATCTTAAATTTATTTATAAAATAAAAATTCTTTTATAATATTTTGTATAATAATAAAAAATAAAAAGCTAGTTTGTTAAAAACTCAATAAATTATAAATATAATAATTGATATTAATAAAAAATCAAAATAATAAACAAATATATTTTTTATTTTATAGTAATAATAAATTTATTTTAATTAATTTTAAATAATACAACAAAAAAATTTTAATAACATAATGTTTTAAAAATTAAAAGTTGACAGTTTTTTTTATTTTGCTACAGCCGTTACATAGTTGTTAATTTTTAATTTATTTAAATCTGCAAGATAAGAATTACTTATTTAAATAATAAAAATTAGTTTTATAAATATAGTGTTACTGAATCTTTTTTTATTTATTTATGGCAACAAATAATTAAATTATCTAAAAAAATACCCTGCTGTCATAGTCACTACTTTTTCTACTTTACCCTATTTTTCTACTTTTTTTGCATTTTCTACTTTTCTTCTTTCTCTCTCTCACGTAAAACTTATAAAAGTAACTAAAATAATATATTACAAGAGAGAGACAAGTACATATCTAATAAATAAATAAATAATTCATAACAAAAAATAAGTCACTGTCTACTGTGAAATTATGCACTAATATTATCCAAACTCACCGAATTACATGTTTTTTTGACTTATGTAGGGAATAAAAAAAAAACACTTCGTCTTGCTTATATTGATAAAATTTCTCAATCTCTGGAACAAATACCTACGTAATTTGTTCTGCAAGAAACTCTCACATCTCTTAATTACAGTATTTTAACATAAACCTAATCTTGTCGTCACTGGCGAGTCTGTCACTAAAACGGCTAACTCGATAATCCGAACGCTTGAATTTCGACATTAAATAAGTTAAAGGCTTTAACTCTGAGGCGGGTTACGATTTGGCCAACTTTCGTACACTTGCTAATCTATTTTTGACCGTCATTCTCTAGGCATGTTGCAAGATTACAAGTGTCTCTCTCTACACAGGGCAAGGTAACTCAGATTCTCTCTTTAAATATTACTTTACTATAGTGACGGCAGACTTAGTTTATACTTTATAAGTTATGTAATGGTTGTTGTGTGAAGTTGTAGCATTTATTCAATAAAGTGAGAAGGAGCGAAAAGTGCGTTCCAAAATCCGTGTCTCCCTTTACAAATTACATAAAACTCTATTTGTATTCCTTGTTGACACGTCCATTCCCATTACATGCTATACATCATTCTATTATCATTATCACTTTTGTTACGCAACGCGCTTCTCGTCCACAACACTAAATTAGGAAAAAATTTTGCAAATCAAGGAAGCACGACTCTTGTGGAAAAACAGTAAATAGTTATTGGCGGTGGTGGTGGGTGGTACGGAGTCGATCCTTGTATCATATGTCATATGCAACTTGCGGTGTGCCATAATTGCTGAAGTATCTATATTCTAGAACATTTTGTCTAATCTCTGATACAGTATATTTTAATTCGCATAATAATTATGAAATTAAGATAAATAAAAATATAAATTGTTATCTGTAACGATGAATTTAATGTATATTAAAAGAACCAATTACTATTGAAGATAGTTAATGATGAGTAATATAGCGAAGGATTATAAGCTCTTAAAGTTCTATAATAAACTCCAAGTACAATATTTTTAGCGAATATTACCTCCTTGTTAAATAAATTTATTCACCATCAATTTTATTGAATTCAGGCTTAAACGTGTTAGAGGCATGGGCATGGATGTGACCCGAACCTTGATTACCGTACCATAATCATGGATGTGACCTGAACCTTGATCACCGTACCATAATCTTTTGTGTCTTTTGTGAACGAACTGAAGGTTAGTGATTTGCAAAACTCTTTCCTAATACATTTTCAACAATTCAACAAGTAGCTTTAAGGTTGGAGTTGGTGATTTGCAAAACTCCTTCCTAATACATTTTCAACAATTCAACAAGTAGCTTTAAGGTTGGAGTTGGTGATTTGCAAAACTCTTTCCTAATACATTTTCAACAGGTGGGAAAACTCTTTCCTAATACATATTCAGCAATTGATGAAAATGTCCCAAAATTCTATCAATAAAAGCAAGACGAAAAAGAGTTTTTTTTTTTATTATTATCGAAAATTGCACAGTTAAAAATTATTGCGAGCACATACGCAATCTCTTTTATAGAATTAATAGATAAATATTCGGGCCATACGTAAAAATCCATTTCGATATACAGTATAATATAATAAAGGTAGTGTACTAATTTCAAATCCTTGATTTGTTAAATTCAATAAAGTTCTTCGATGATAAATTGATTCCTTACATCTAACTTCAGGGTGTTGAAAGAAAGATGCAGTGTATGGATAACCGGATTATAGAATTGAACCACGTTGCCGATGGTGGTTCATCCAGGGTTCTGAAAAAAATTCTGGTCATTAATGGCAACGAAACATCTGTTGCCATGAAGATTGTAAATAAAAAATCGAATGAAGCTGACAGAGAGGTATTTGTTATTTCGAATGTCCTATCTTATTTATTTTTAATAACAAAATAACTGCTATGTAAATTATAGCTTAAAACTTATTCCGAGATAAAATCCCACGAAAACATTATCAAGTTTTATGAGTCACGTCACGGTATATTTAAAAATTATATATAAGTTATAACTTTTACGTTATAAAATCATTATTAAATCAACCTAATTTATTTTTAAGAACCGGATAAATCCTATACATTTGTTTTAGAATTTGCGGAGCTGGGAAGTCTACGTGAGTATCTGAAGAAAAATCCCAAAATCACGTGGGAAGAAAGAATTGACATTGCGAAAGGAATCGCCCACGGGTTAATTCACTTACATGCAAATAGCATTCTACATAGAGATCTGGTAAGATCACACTTTCCTGTTGCATTAAATAATTAGTATTAATATCTTAAATATAAAATTTATTTTTAACACTATATATATATATAATTAGCACTCAAGAAATATTGTTTTATCGACATCTGACGGAAAACTGAGAGCGAAGATAATCGACTTCGGAATGTCAATAAATTTACTATGTGAAAGTTTAGAAACTTCAGGGGTTAAAGGTGTACCAGCATTCATAGATCCAAGGATCTTAGATATGGAATCTTATGCTGACTTTACCGCAAAGTCTGACATTTACAGCTTGGGAATGGTTTTGTGGGAAATCTCAAGCGGAACAGTGCCATTCAAAGGCTTAGATCGTTGTGGTATTGTAATGGCTGTACTACATGGTCAAAGAGAGAAACCGACTTTGGACACTCCGTGTGGGTATATAAAGATATACCAACTATGTTGGATCGAGAACCCAAATCGACGCCCAAGTGCCAAACAGATACATGATAAACTTAATAAGGACACAATAATCACTGGAACCGTGTTCAAAGGGGAGGAGGAAAAATGCTGCAGTCGGCACCCTCATGCTTTGGGAATAACTAAATTTTATAATCCTTAATTAATATATACGTGTGTACTAACTTTTTTGAACCTGAATTTAAATATACTGTATAATTTTATGTAAGTCTTTATCTTAGCATTGCGTATTTTATTAATTAGGGTCTCTGTGATCTTCGATGATCCTGTGACCGAAAATGTTGATGCCGTCGCGCTACACGTTTTGATCGCATTATGCGGTTGTGGTTTCAACACTTTTACTTTTAACATCATATTTGCCATAAGTATCAATATTAATATTTATTCCCAGTTTAGTCGATAAGAGGCGTGATATGCTCGACTGATTTTTATTTCTTCTGTAAATCATTGTGTTTATCTTGTGTCGTTTTCTCTATCTTCAGAGTAATACATCGGCTAATATTGAATTATGATTATGTATTAAATAAAAATAAAATGGACGAATGGACAACAATTTTTTGTCTTGTTAGTATAGAATTGTTTGTACACAGAAGCTTGACTGTTCTAATCGATAACTATTTTACGAGATTACCCGTATTAATTTGGAAATACAATATAACGGTTTATATTAAACATGTTACATAATGCCTTGTTAATTATTTTAATGATATTGATACGTGAATAAGAAAATCCTATTCTTCTCAGGCCTACTACTAGTTCTCTATTGCACACATACTGTATTAGTGATGCAGTATGAACAATAAATAATAAGTTTGTTTTTAAAACTAGTGTCAGAGGGTAAAATTGCGACGCGAAAACGGTCACGTGACTAATAGCCGCGCGAAAGACCCGTTCCAATCATGGTACTTGAGGTGGTGTGATAAAGAGTATGTAACGAGGAGTGATTGGGATGGATAAAATAGTGGTGGGGAAGCGTGTTAGAAAGCTAGATAATGAGGGGAGGATCGTGAAAAACGATTAAGTAATACTGTATAAGTCATTATGATCGAGTATTATGTAATATGAGGGAATCATGAAAAGATTTATATACCATATTTTTAGCATTTAAAGTCGTCCCAACTAAAAATGTATAAAAAGAAGTAAGTAAATGTAAATAATGGACAGTGAATTATCTTTTACTCAACCAAATCGAACACGCCTACAATTAAATAAATTGCAACGTAGACAGTTACGCGATACTCTGCTCCACTTTAGCGACAGACTCGCCGATTGACCGTCACACTAGTCACTAGATATAGGTGATTGATTACTAAAAATTTACGATGTAATATCTAATCAACCTTATAATCATTCTTGCAATAAAAAAAAAATAATAGTAGTAATAATAGTAAAGTTAATAAAAAAAAACAATAACTTGATGAGTTTCTTTATTTATCAATCGTTTTATATTTTCAAAATAAAAGTATTCGTGAATTAAGAATTTATAATATATTTCATATTAAAACAATATACAGTAACATCTATTTGAAATATTTAGTAATATATAATACAAATTATAAAATTATTCCGGTCCAATATAATACAATGAATCTCAAAATAACGTAAATAATAAAAAGATTATAATTAGTATCCACTAATATACTGTATATAATTCTTTTTTATGATAATTAAATGCTAATGAAGGTATCTAAAAATTACGGTCGCAGATTTAGTGTCATCGCACTTTGAAACTTTGTAAAGTACAGTATCTACTAATATTAACGCTAAATCATCAAAAAACACTCTTGAAGATTATTTTTTCGATTGAAAAATTCACTGAACTCATATCTATAAGAATATTGAAACTGAGAATATATTCGATTTAATTTAAGACCAAATAAATAATAAAACCTGCATTCATTCAAAATAGTTTATCTAGGAAGCAATAAGAAATCTCTCATTCAATTTCTACACCCATCACAACTTCGCACGCAACAATATTATACATTTAAACAACATTTGAAATCCCTTATCTGTCATATTCTTTAAATATAAAGACTGGATTTTGAGTACAGATTTTTCTTATTGATCATTGCTCATCAACCATCACGTTGAAGATATGCAATGAAGATAAAAACAAGCGTTAGAACATGAATTGGTTGAAGTACAGGATTGCAGTCAAGGTTAAAAAATTGTAAGAATGCTAGTAGGAAGAAATGGTTTTGGTAGCAAAGGAAATGGAAAAGTAGTATCTTACTACAATTTACAATAATTATATAGTGGATTGCCAAAAGTTTATGGACACTTATTTTTTAATTGTACAATATTTATTTTGATAATTATACTTAATTTTTTATAAAAATGTAATGACATATTTATTTAATATTGCCAATTAAAAAAATTTTTTTATTTATCTTATATTTTTCTCTTTAAATTTCACATAATCATTAATATGGATATGAGAAAAGAACTAACACCCAAACAAAAATCAACTATAATTTATGGTTTTAAAAGAAAAGATTCGTATCACACTATTGCAGCTCATGTCGGATGTGAAAAATCAGTTGTGGATAATATTATAAACAAGTTTATTAAAACCGGATCTATGAAACCACAACCTCAAACTGAATGATCATGACTCCTCAATAATTGCACCCATATCACTTTTAAAAAAACTTGTCACTAATAAAAAAAATCAGTTTTTGTGCAATACAGAATTAACAAACCTTTTTATATCAAAAACAAAAATTAAGTATCCAAAAGGATGATTTATCGAACTTTATATTATAAAAAGTTAAAATCTCACGTTGCCCATTCTAAACTACTTGTCTCTAAAAAGAATATTAAAGAAAGGCTTACCTGATGTCTTAAGCATAAAGATTGGTCTATTTATGACTTCAAAAAGGTAATCTGAAGCGACAAATCAACATTCTCTCAATTTCAACAAGGAAATAAAAGCTGTATATGATGTAAATCACATAAGGAGTGGGACGTCGACTGTTTTTTTGCTATGATTAGCCATAGATCGAGTCATATGTGTTGAGGTGTTTTTGTGATTTGGCATTGGCCTTCTTATTTCCCTTTACATGTCAATTACAGATAAAAAAATAAAAAATAAATAAAAAAAATAAAAAAAAAATAAAAACAAAAAAAATAAAAACAAATGAATTTTTTTTTTTACTGTTTTTTTAGGAAAATCCTATGTTGAAACTCTTGAAAAGAATTTTTTGTCAACTCTTTATGATTTTCTTACAACAAATTGGATTGGTGCAGGTTGACTTTGGTTTCAACATGACAATACAAAACCATATACCATAAAAATCACAAAAAGTTTCTTGCTAAAAAAAATATTAGGATTATAAACTGACCTTCATGAAGCCCAGATCTTAATCCTATTGAAAATCTCTAGTATATAATTAAATATCGTCTTAAAAAAGTACACATAAATCTCAAACTTAACAGAACTTAAGCAACATGTTAAAAGGTGTTAGGATAAGATAAGTCTAGAAAATTGTTAACAATTAATAAAAAGTATATCACATCGCATTACAGCTTGTATTGCAGCTGGAGGAAGACCAACAAAATATTAATTATTTAAGTAAAATTAGAAATATAATCAATATGTAAATATTTTATTATATAAAAAATTTTTTTTTATTTAAAAAACTTTTTTACTAAGTTTTAAAAAATATTTATAAACTTTTGGCAATTTACTATATATAACATAATAAGTTTGAAATAATAATTTTTTTAGTTTCATTATAAATATTACATCTTATAGTTGATTGCAATCTAAAGGGAAAAATGATTTTAAATAAACATCAAGATTATAATAGAAGGTAATACAAAAAATATATATATAATACACTTTAAACATACTTTTTTTTATTATTGCAAGCAAGAACGTTCATTTACTTTTTCTCTTGACACTTAACAAGATTGTACAATTAAACAACATTTACTATAAATTTCTTTATTTTCTAATAAAAAGACAAATAATATAGAAAGCTTTGAAATTTTTCAACACAATAACCATATTAGCAGTTGCCACTACCAATATAAATTTTTATAATGCAAAAGTTTTACTTGAAAATAATACAAATTCGCCTGCACAGGTAATGTACGAATGTGGTATGGATGTTAAAAGTGATATACGAAAATATTCTAAAGTAGCTGCTATCATGTGACACATATTTAAATATCATAAAAAAATATATAAGTAAAAACCTTACATACAAGAGTTGAGATTGTATCAATCAAAAATTATAGTTTTGAAGCATTTACTAAGAAGTATATATTAATATTTAATTCCTTTAAACCTATAGCTGTATAAGCCAAAGTTATAATATAAGAAGTAATTATTAATATATAGTTTATTTTCTTTTAATTTGTTTATATACTTCTATAAATAGTTGTATTCTTATCTAAATAATATATTAATTTAAAATTTCTTTTTTAATATAGTTTAAATAATTAATTTGGTAAGCTAGTATTTAATTTTTATACTATAAAATTGAGAAATATAGGTTCTTGTTTAAATATACAATTTTATTTATATGATAATAAAAATTATTATTTATCAAAAAAAAAATTATTTTTTATTTTTTTTTTCTTTATAGTAGAACGGCATTAGATATGAAACTTTTATTGACTTAATTTATTAATTGAATTATATCAAATATTGTCTATTGCTATTACAATAGCTAAATGCTAGCCTATCTACTTATTACCCCAGTAATATTAGTGACACTTATGAAGTGGATTCATATTTTTGGGGGGATCTATTTAGGGAGTGGAAGTTCTATCACTAGTTTAAACCACCTAACCTACCAGTCCAATTTTAAGAAAGCAGTAAGTACTGTTAACCATTTCCTAAGGTTACTTATTACATCACATCTTTTTGCTCATGTAGTTAATATGGCAGAAAGGTCTCAACATAAGTATGTACTCTCTAGTGAATGCTTCAGTTTTGATCTGCTGGTTGGCACTTGCTGCCAAATCTAGGGGCTCTTGTGGCCAAGTGGGGCATGACTCCTATTATCTTCTAGTAGACACTCCAATTTGGAACCGGTTGGCATAGGCTGTCAAATCTAGGGGCATAAATGCCAAACAGGGCGCAACTCCTATATACTCAGTAAGCCATTAGAGAATCCATGTCGCACAAGATGTTAGTGTTGGTATAGTGCTCTTCTTCAAAGCTTCTTTATTCTCTAGCCAGCAGGAAAGTGTCATGTGGATTTAATAAGATGAAGTACAGCCCAGTCTGTACATCCAAATAGATGGTTGTGGTTGGTAGTTAATAAGGGTTGGATAAGATGGAGTATAGTTCAGTCTGTACATCCAAATATGTGGTGACACCTTTTATTAGACGACCATCATGACATCAACCAGACGATTGTCACACCACTATACCTTAACAGGAAT